GACCAAAATCTCTGAGGAATGCTTCCAGCACCTTGTTGAATCTATGCCACGAAGAATTGAGGCAGTTCTGAAGGCAAAAGGGGGTCCAACCTGTTACTAGCGTGGTGTACCTAATAAAGTGGCCGATGAGTGTATGTGTGATTTAGAGCCAACCGTATGCCAACAGTGTGATGTGTAATTAGGCCACGCCTCACAAAATTGGACTGCATTCCCTTAGTGGGGTGGATTAGGGCCGAACATAGTGAATTGGGTGCAGATTGGCTGACATGTGGAATTTAGAGCCAAATGTATGTCAGCGGCATGGTGTCTGACTTTGTTGCACCGCCATGCCCATGCCTTCCACTAAAAAGTGTTTGTGCTTGAAAGCGAGATCAAGTTCTTATCTGTGTTCTGACACAATTTGTTGCTAATTAGGTCAAGAGGGTCAGAGACGGAGCTTTCAAAGCCAGAAAAAGGTCACTTCTGCGCTGTGATATGGAAGCTCAGTGCAGTTTACTTGGCATCTGAAAATACATTTCCTCAAAAGGTATTTTGAATTTGAAAAGGGCTGCGCTCAGAAATAGTATTGGGAGTTCAGCAGATAGTTTCAGTTTCACCAGTTGTCTGCTTTGTTGCTGCCGAGAGCCAGCAGGAGTCATGGGCAGGGTGTGGTGGGTGGGCGGGTGTGTGTGCTCCATGTTGAGGAAGCTCGGCTTGGAGACACAGCCCAGAGGAGGAGCTGGTCCCAAAAGGCGTTTCTAGTCCCAATCTGTCGTTTTTGCTCCCCTGCCTGCTGCCTCAGGACACTACAGGATTTCTCAAACATGCATGAATGAGTTAAAGTAAGACTCTGGGCATGTTTTTAATGAGAGGATAACATTATAACACAATATAAAACTCTTTGTTGACTTTACATGATATAGCCCCTTTAATATACGACATACCTAAATTTCTCAATTTACCAGTAGTATGTATTTAYCTGGTGCACTACAATTTGGCTATAGGAAAAAGATCAAAGAGCAAAATAAAACACTGCATGTCATTTTCAGCAATTATGCTTAAATGTATATGACATCGTAAGAAATCAGGTCAAAGTTACCAAAAGGTAACATGTAGCCCTTGTAAACATGAGATCTGTTCTGGATGATAAACTGACTTTTGACTCTCATATGAACTCACTTTGTAAGAACGTTCATCAGAGAATGTATTTGTATCGCAAGTCTCTTAACTTTTACTTTCATCTGTTGGTTTGAAGWTTTAACATGTGAGAACAGGAACCAACTCTTGGGGACTGTCTGCTGCTGGTAGTACTGAACCTTACTGACCTACACAAGGTGARGTCAGTGAAAAAGGCCAGACTGATTCTGACAGACCCTGATCACCCACACCAAGTGTTTTTGCACCGTACAGCCTGGCCAGAGTTCAAACCTGGGTTCAGTGTTTTTGCATTAGCTCTTATGGYCCAGGTCCACTGCGACTTCTGGAACCCTGAGAGCTGTGGTTCCAATTGGGYCAGGCTGTTTGTCCCAGTTTGACRTCAGCTACTGCCGCGCACTTATTGGTTCACTGACTGGAGGCATTGTGCGATAAATCCAGTGAAAATGTGTTCAGTCTGAACGTAGCATCGATGTGAATTAGTCCCAGTTAAAGGTAGATGGGTTGAGACATTTTTGTGTTTTCTAAGATCAGTCGCCTGTGGAAGCCTTCTTGATGTTGGTTGACTCCAAAAGATAATCAGTTGYAGATGTGTATCTAATGATTAAAATCTGACCAGTGGTTAATAGATATTTTGCTAACACACACGGGTAACAACATTATCGCCCCTTCATCCTTGTGTGATAACGAACCTCTAACAACTACCTTTTCTATTCACAACAGTGACCAAAGGTGAACCTGTTCCTCTTTCCATCAGCCTCCAGCAGACATAAAGTTGAACTGTTTATTTAAATGCTAATCAGTTCCCCAGTTTTTCTTTTTGCATCTCATWTTCAGTGTGTTTGAGGCAGTTTGTTTTCAGCATATTTTCTGGCTGATGAGTGCTGTATGTAAAATGGGGGCTTAAAGAAACAAAAGATACCAAAAAAGTTGAGCTGATTATAATAATTTGTTGCTTCGTAACAGAATCTCACAAATGATTTTAATTAAAAAGACTCATTGGTTGGAGTTTTCTTGTCAGATTGCAATATAAAAAAATCATGCAATCTTCAGCGATTTCACCAAACCCTCCTGTTGGTGTCAAACGATGCTTAGCCTCACCCACCTCACCTTGTCAGTGTTCAGTTTGTGCAGATTTCCTTTTCTTTTATGTCACTTTCTAATGAGTTATTTGTGGCAAACATGCTAAAAGAATGAAGAATGAACTTTTGGCATTTTTCAATTAAATGGGCACCAGATTTTGTGCAAATTAGGGCTGCAACAACGAATCGATAAAATCAATAAAAATTGATTATTAAAAGCGTTGGCAACGAATTTCATCACCGATTCGTTGTGTCGCGTGATTTATGCGTCCCTCGCCATGTTGCGGAGCCGTTTACATCACCCGCAGAGCGTTGTCAATGCTGGCTGATTTAAATAAAGTTTAGGAAGAAGAAAAAACTCTACCTGTAAAGAGCCTCTCTGAGACTCTCGAGTGAAAAGTAGAGACTTTGAACTTTAAACCAGTTTTTAAATTGTGTTGTTAGGCCAAGTAGATCCAAAGTTATGTTAAAAAGTAAATG